TTATCATATTATGTCGTGATTACCATGTCATTTATTATTAATCGCAATATCAAATTATATTGTATTCATGTTCCGCATCATGCCACCTATTGCAACCTTTTGCCTATGTTCAACTCTGTCAGTATATCTATTTTATTCTCTGGAAATGCCAACATAAATTTAAATTTGGGTTGCACAAGTGTTTTATATGGTGTTTCGTAGCACGCTATAGCGCAAATTATTTCAATAAAACACAATGTAGTGTTTGATAACGTTTTTTTTCCCACATATTCACTTTATTAAAATATAGTTAAATTAAAATAATTAATTAAAATAACCATACTTAAAATTAAAGTATGACTTACCTTATTTCATATTTCATTTTTTCCCACATATTCACTTATTTATTATTATTATTTTTATTTGCATACATTCATTTTTATTATTTAGACATTCATATTAAGCTATTCACATTAAACATTTGTGAGAAATAATTCTCAAAATGTTATTTTTGAGTTTAATTAAATATTATAATAATATTAAGAATCAACAATTCAATCTTATTATAATATTACTATAAAAAACTTTTTTTTATATCGAGTTTGTTACACAACACCTAAAGCTATTTACACAATCAAATTGCTATGCAGTACAAGTACATTTGGATAAATGTTTAGATTTGGTGTTAAATTAAAATGGACTTATGGATAAGTCGTTTCTCCAAAAAATTCATTCTATAGAAATAAATGATGAAGACTTTTAGAGAAATCTATTTTGGATAAGTCTATATTTTAAATAAACTTTTTGAGAAGTGCTCTCAAACAAACACTAAGGGGGCGATTGTATACAGATTCTACAATAAAAAAGCCAATTAAAATTCAAATTTAACTCAACTCCATTATCTCTAATATTATTAATTAAATTAAATAATATCAACCAATCATTCTTACACATCACATCAATTTTAATTCACTATTCATCTACTCACATAATTTTAACTAACTATCACTTCTAATCGTTTTTTTTTACTATTACATCAAATCAAATTTTAATTATTTTATTTTAAATATTATTTTAATATATCCACTAACAAGTAACAACTAATCATACGACTTTTTTTAAAATTTAACTATAATTAAAAAATAACCAGTTAAATTCACATCCAATCGCCCCAAAATGACCACATTAGACTTTCCTTTAACTATAATGGTGTTAAATAAATTATAAATATATGTCCAACGATCCTAGATTTCAATAATTAATTTAACAAAATCCAATTATTTCACACTCTCAATGCGCACAGAACCAAACTTCCAAAAACACCCTTCAACCGAAACAACACACAAAATAATCAACCAAAACCAAAACAAATTCATAATTTTAAAGATTCCCCATACGGCCTCAGGCCTCAGCCAGCGGTTTGAACACCCAAAACGCAAAATGCAGAAACCAAAACCAATGGGCCGATTATATGAAATGACAAAAAAACCCCTGGCCTCGTTCTAGGGAGCACCCCATACGATAAAAGATGAAAAAAGTAAAAAATAAAGAGAGTAGGGAATCATCACAGCAAAATCCAGCAAAAGGGCAGAAACGGAAATTTAACTATGTGAATCCCCCAACCGAAAAGGCAAAAACCCACTACTCCTCACTAGGCAAAAGCGTGTGCACGATTTCTCGACCCTTTGCCTGCAGCGCGAGAAGACGAAGAAGAAGAAGAAGACGGCGTTGAGCAGTTGTACTCTAAGGTACAACTACCCTTTGCATTGGCCTCCTCTTCATCCATGAAGATCTGCCTGTACCTGCACTCCACGCTGCAGAATGCCGTATCCCCTCTGTTCATCAATAATTATTAATTAAAATTAAACCCTCAAACTAATAAATAAACAAAAATAAAGTACAAACCCAATTGCCAAATAATTATTAATTTTGTTTCTCTTTCAATTGGGCCAAAAGTCACTTTTACAGTTTTACTCGGTCGAAAGTAAAATCCAACTCCTTTCATACGTGACCCGCACTTCAAAATTTCACTCAAATCAAACTCCATTTATCCAACCAAATTGCATACATTTCTTGGTAGCTTATTTTAAAAGCTTCTTATTACCACATCAAATCCCACTAGAGTTTCAATCTTTTCACCTCAATAGCAGTCCCAAATGTTCGATTGTCAAGCCCACTTAACTTAAAATCCAACCCCTTTCAGAAATTTTCAGTAATATATGAAGATTGCAAGGAAAATGTCCTAAAGTTAACATTTTTAAATATGAAAAAGTACAAAGAATGCTTACTTGTACATGTAGATATCTTTTCCTGGCAAGAGCTTTTTCCTGCAGAGAAAACAAGACTCAAGAAAGCCATAAGCAGAAGAGAAATCAGACACATTCTGTTTCCTCCTAAAAAACCCATTTGGCGATGTGGGAGATGAAGGATTTGAGGGTGGCTTTATCATGCTGATTCCTTTGCTGATGACTTGTGGGCTCCTCTTTTCCGAGAGATCCCTGTAATTCTCCAGTATTACACTCAGACCCACCATCTCATAGTTTTTCCCCTTTCTTCTCGAGGCGGCGCTACGGCGGTGGAAGGCGGCGGAGGAGAGAGAAAGAGAGAGAGAGAGAGGGGTTTTCGGTTTATTTGATGGGAAAAAAGAAATGATTTTGGCGAAAAATTAAATAGGAAGAGGACGGAGCAATTAGCAGGGAACTGTAGTGCTTGTTAACTGCCACGTATCCTTCATTTGCTTGCTTATTTCCTCTTTTTATTTTCTGTATTTTCCCTATTGAGAGGGAAAAGTATATATATTTTGGAGGGTTATTTTTTGGGTTTGTCGTTTAGCTCTGACTCGAGTTTTTACTTGCCTTTATGGGGCCAACTTTACTGCGCTTTTTCTGGATGAATGAATTTTGCAAATTTTGACAGTGGTTAAAGTTTTTGGAGCATTGGGGTTGGGGACTTTCGTAGTGTAGGGCGTTGTTTGTCTTTTTGTGATTCAATTATTTTATTGCTCCTTCATCCTTGGCTAAGTTTTTTTTCTTTTCTCATTTTTTTTTTCCTTGGGTAATTATTTATTTTAGAGTAAGATTACAATTCCGTTACGTAATCATAACGTTGGGATTTGTGACCGTTAGATCAATTATTATTGACGGTTACTGGATGATCTAACGGTTACAAATACCTAACGAAATGATTCCGTAACAGAATTGTAGCATTTTCCTTTATTTTATTGCTCCTTGGGTAAGTTCTCTACGTTACAATGTGAGCAACATCTCAACTTTCCTCACTTTTTAGTCGAGCTCAATTACATTGACCTTTTCCAGTTGATCGAACATATTATGTCCTCTTAAAGTTTCGTCTTTCATTTGGTACTAAAAAAGCTCACCCCAACTCGATGCCTTAGCCGATGAATTATGAAATTAAACAAATTTTAGTGATATGGAAAATGTAAAATTTTAGTGATATGGAAAATTTTAGTGAATTATGATATTTTGGGCTGTTAGAAAATTGTTCCAAAGATGTTTGTAAATCGAAATTGAATATGACAATTTTGTGTTTAAATTTGAAACCGCTATTATAATATATTCAGCAAGCAGAACAAAAAAGTAACCTAATGAACTAAAACAAAAGGCAACATAATGAATTGAGTAATTTCAGGTCCGAAATTTACCATTGCAGTTGCTTTATAATTGTTACAATTTTCTTTATTTTATTACTTTATTTATTTTCTGTTTGGGTTAGGGTGCGAGGATTTTATATATGTCTCTAAGACTTTGTTTATTAGATAATCGAGACTTTATATTCTATTTTATAATAAATTTTCATTTTGTTGGAAGTATGTGTGTTTTCTATGCTTTATTTTTTAATTTTCAATTTTACCTTTATATATATAATTGTAAAAAGTTGATTGATTGTGTTATTTTTCTTGTCAATTACATGGTATTGTTTAAGGGTTTAGGTCGATTTGTACTAGACTAGCAAAAACAGACATACTTCCGAGAAACTAAAAATTTATTATAATTAGTCCTTTTGTCCTTTCTAAATGAGAGTACATGCATGGAGATGGCACACATGGTCATTTGAATGGCATGGTTTCAATATTCCAATTTTTATTCTCCTTAATTTTCTTGTTGAGTGGATGAATACTTGTGATATCCAATACAAATGATCAATCTAACAATTGGTTTTGTATGATTGTAAAGTTGTAATAATAATAATATAATAACACTCGATGATGTGCCCAATGAATTATATTACGGGGGTTGTATTCAATTGAGATTTTTAAGGACTTTTTAAAACTTTTTAAATTTGGTGACTTTTGTAGACTTTTTAAAACTTTCATGACTTTGGTAGACTTGTTGAGACTTTCAGAGAATTCTCATTAGTGACTTTTTAAGACTTTCATAATGAACTTTTTAAAACTTATTGAGACTTTTGTATACTTGTAGTTATAATATTATGCTTGGAAATGACACATTAATAAACGTATATAATAACTAATATCAAGAAAAAATAAATGAAAAAAAAATATTTTATATATTAATCCTCTAAAAATTTATGAATCAACTCATTGTTATACGAAATGAGTTACTCACTAACAAATTGTTTAGGATTTTTAGATTTATTGAAAGAGCAAATCAATTCGAGTTTCAACGAGCCGAACTATGGAATATACACATTGTCGAAAAACAGTAATTGTATTTTATAAAGTAATAAATAATTTTCAAAATAATTCAATATCAACAAATAAATTATTAGAAAATAAAATAATTTTATTAATATTAAAAAATAGACATTAACAAATAAAAAGAGAGAACAAATAAATTATTTGCAAGTGCAAACTATGGAAGCATTTAACCTTTAGAAAATCAAATTCGCAAGATAACAAAACGAAAGAATAAATGTATACATACATAAAATAACCATAATAAAAAATATATAAAATAAAGATCACGTTAAATATAAGTAACGAAAATAAAAATTATACAAGGTATCAAAATAAATGATGAAAACAATAAAGCATGAAAGTGATATGAGATATAAAGTCGTGTTAGAAAGAAAAAAGAAAGGGAGCGTGAAGAGAATCACATAAGTCTAGCAAAATCTCACCAATATTGATGAGATTTCTGTTGGGACTCTCTCTTTGTAATTTTGAGAGAAAAGTCTCTAAAAGTCTCACAATTTAAAAAGTCCCACAAAGTCTTCATCTTTTGAATACAGGGTGACTTATAAAGACTCTCAAAAAGTTTTAATTGAATACCCTGAGACTTTTAATGACTTTTTAAAAGTCTTTAAAAGTCTCAATTGAATACATGTAAACTTTTCAGAAGTCTCTAAAAGTTCTAATTGAATACACCAGGATTCTGAAAGTCTTAAAAAGTCTCTAAAAGTTGAAATTGAATACACCCCCCTACATGTCGATGTTAACTTTGTCCTCTTAATCTGGAATAAGAAAATAATTTTTGCTGCTATATATTATATTTTGACTAAATATAAAATTGCTTATATTTATGACAACTAGCTCTAAATCTAAATCTTCTACCTTGGTTCATTTGGAAAATATTAGACTAGATCAAGTAGGTTGGTGTGGGATAATTGACTTTAAATAATTTTTTTATAAAAACTGTGAGCCAAAGCAAACTGCTGCTTAATTATTGAGATATTTCAGAGAATCTACTAAGGTTGTTTCGATATACTTTTATAAGTCTTGAGAATATTTCACATTATTAATGTTGGTTGGGCTACACGATCAAAGTTTCACATGCGTGAGATATAAATTAGATGTTGCCAAGTTAGAACATATTTTTATGAACTCAATATAATAGACCAATCCAAATTCTAATAAAATGAGTATGAATAGTTGGATATTTAAGCTAGAACATTGATAACCGTTTGAATACTTGAACGAATAGTTGTATTTCAGCTACCCCATTCACTACATGCAATCATGTGTTATGGGCAGTATTGAATACAATATTTTTTTTTATCGTTTTTAATATTTTTTATTTTATGTTACTTTTTTAAAATATCTAAACAATAATATTTGTATATTTTATGATTTTTTTTTTTTGTATTTTAATGAGTCCTATTTTAAATAGATATTTAACTTGGACAAAAATTTCACTTGAAAATGAATCCTAACAGTACAAGAAAATAGCTACAAATAAAAAGAAAAGAGAAGAGCAGCACAAACGTATGAGATAAATGATTTATTGAACATCAGTCCATGTGGACGGGTTATTTTGGTTTTTTCTACTACTCATTCGCTATTTTTTCATTATACTCTTTTATTTTATTTTATTTTTTGTCTTGTCTAAATGTTTATTTTTAGTTTAGTTTGTCATTGTATCACTAATTGCGTTTGAGATAATGATTAAACAATGTTTATTTTTAGTTTAGTTTGTCATTGTATCACTAATTGCGTTTGAGATATTGATTACTCCAATTTACTCCTTCACTCTTCGTTCCCTTTTAAATCATGATTGTAAGCATAATTATTTGATTCCATATTTATATCGGGTGGGTGTGAGCTTGCCCGGCCCTCGGTCCGTCAATGGGACCAATATATTTACCACGTTTTTATTATTTTAATTATTTTGATAAGATCCAAATAGCTCCAACAATCTAGAAAATTAAAAGAAAAGATAAAGAAACTGTCAAAATCTATATATATATAAAGAGGTTGTTGGAAAAATACATTAATAGAAAGTTTGACCAAATAAATATAATGTTTGACTTACTATTAATGGAAAGTTCAAAAAAATACATATGAATTTTTAGTAACAAAATCTGAATCCTATTTTTTTGTAACTAATTTGGAGATTCTTATGGCAAAATTTGAATTCTATTTTTTTCGTATCATATTTTATTTTTTTGCCAAAATTTAAATCATATATTTTTTGGTAATAAATTTAGAAATTCTTATGCAAAAAATGTGTCAATTATTTATGAAAACAATACTAAATACAAATTAATTTAAAAACCGTACAAATTGGATACAAATTTTTGAAACAAATAATTGTATAATTCTTAACCAATTCTTCCAATCTTATTGAATAATTTTTTCTTTAAAAAAAGTGTGTAAATTGGATAAAACCACGTGCAATTTTTATTTTAGAATAAAACTGATATTTGGACGGATGTACATTCACAATTGTGTCCACATTTTTTGGTAACAAAAGCGGTTCATCTTTGATATATAAAAATTAAAAAAATCTTAAAATATCCTTAAATATTTAACTTATTTGAGATCAAGATTTGTTAGGTCTTTTTAAGATTAGTTATGATTTAAAAGAAAAAAACATTATACAAAATTTCACTCTAAATCTCACATTCACACTTAAGATTTCATAGTATTCTTCTAAAATTTGATCATCTTAAAAGTCTCAAATCTTAAAAAATCTCAAAATGTCACTCAAAATTCTAAACGAATACATATTATACCTATATCGTCAATTTATAATTATTATTTAGTATTATTTACCCGTGCATCGCACGGGCCACATACTAGTTTGTATGAAGCGAATTAATCAATAGAAACTCTAAAATAAGTAATTATTTTATTCTTCTCGAGTATGATTTACATTTTATGCATTAGACACTTATATTACAATACCAGAATGAT